CTAGATTTTTCACTTTGTTGAAGTGCAATGGCTTTTACTACCAACCACAAGAACAGAGGACTTGTCAAGATCGATATTTGCAGTGAACTACGGCGACTACTTGGCAAGATTGGCTTGAATTGGCTTGTTTCTGAGTTTTGCTGCAACAATAAAAATCAGTCATGCAAAAGAAACTGCCCAGAACTCTCATGTCCTCCATATTAGTATAACAGTGACAAATTTGCTTGATGTGCAATACGTGACAGAGAAAGGGAAGTGCAGTGGGGTCAGGGAAGCCTAATGGCATTGATAATCAATAAGCAATTGTTTACAAAAAGAAGTCCTTGCTGGGGGGGGGGGGGGGGGGGNGGGGGGGGGGGGGGGGGGGGGGGGGGGGGGGTCCATTCATAACATAAAGCATGTGGGAAGCCCAGACAACAATGCAGAGAGAAGAGCAGGAGATATAATCATTTGCTTTGGCAATATAAAAATAAAGACAAAAGGAGAAGGTGCACCATTTATATTGACGACATTGATTGTGGTTCCATCTAAGTGGTAAAATTGCCAATGTTTATAGTATGCATTTATTTATGACCTAACATTAGATATAACAGGTGTATAGAAAAGAAATGGATGAGCGTGCTTCTGTGTGAGGTGTTGTATCTGTGTTTGCATGCTCCTCTAAGATCCCTGCACTCTGTCATAGAGACAGTTGCTGTGTGCACATCCTAATATAGTTGACTAAATGAAAAGTGGATTATGTGGATTATGTCTGCATTTGTGTGAGTATAAACAGGTTAAACGAGGACAACTGATCCAAACAGTGCCTGTGTCATGTTTATACAAACAACAACAACAGCCTCAGAGACTTTATGGAATATGAATAAAAAATAATGTGTTTAATGCAAGGTATGTTTTTTCCCCCAGAATATAGCAAATTAGGCTTATTTTCAACTATCCAAGCCATTTATACCATGAGGGAATGCAATAGTTATTTTTCTTTAGCACATTTGGCATCTAAGAATTATGTCTGTAATGATAAACGGGACAAAATGTGATTCTTCATTTGACCACAGACACAATAACAACTGCCTTAACTTACTATTATATGGTGTAACACAAACTATTAAGCATTTAAAAAATCATCTCATCATATACAGTCAGACTGCAGTACACACCCAGCATTCTGCTATGCCTGACAAACCTTTGCTCACAGCCAAATCATTTTCTTCCCCTGCATCTCCTTCAGATGTGAACAGTACAGGTGACAGAGAACCCACCATTTCTGTTTTTATTTAAGAGCAAAGCAGCCAGTTTTTTAACAAGTGACAGTTGATGACAGAATTGTGAGGATGTCAAGAGTCATGACAAGTGTCTCTAACATTTGTAATGTTGTTTTTGCCTCCCAAGGTAGTTCAGAGCCTGATGTAAAGGAGCTGGTACCAAATCATGACATGGTATGATATTTATGCAGAATTTAAACAAGAGCTTCAACTGGAAAAGTATGTGTTGCATGAAAACCCCAAAGTACGGGTAGGGTATTTGTAATTTTAAAGTGAACACACCAAAATTCCCAAAGTCATTGGAAGATTGAAAGGGCTGGATAGAAATCAGTAATTGTACTCTGTAATTACCGAGTCTCGATTCTCTGATTCGAGAATCGGCAAAGCTGCAGGAGTGTTCCAACCGCTCCGCAACGTATGGTCGTCCAAAGCTATCACTACGGCCATCAAGCCACACCTGTATATGTCAGTGGTCATTCCAACAGGGACCTACGCCTGTGAGACGTGGATGAGGACTGCCAGCATTACCAACATGTTGGATGTCTTCCACCTACGATGCCTCAGAACCATCTTGAGGATCTCATGGCAAGACCACATCACCAACGATGAGGTGATGAGAAGGGCAGGGGTGGCGCTGCTGTCTGGCATGGTCTCTGACAGGAGAATAAGAATGGCTGGACACATACTCTGACTGCCAAGAGAGAGACCAGCGAGTGTGGCAATGGACTGGGTGCCTGTGGGCAGCAGGAGGAAGAGAGGGAGGCCAAAGAAGACGTGGAGACAGACGTTTAAGGAAGACCTGAGCGAGGTGGGTGTCAGCTGGCATGGTGCAAGGAGGGTCACCAGGGACCGGAGCAAGTAAGGGGCTCGTCGCCTAATGTTCCAATAGGAACGGGAGGAACTAAGTCTAAGTAACTAAGTCTGTAATTACGATCGTCTGGGAGATGAGTATCATTTTGTGTGGATGTCAGAATGTGAGCTTAATTAATTAAAGTCAGAGGTATTTGCTTGATTATTATTTAAACTACTCATCTCTGTTTAAATTAATTGTCATTATAATCAGATAAGCCAAAAATTATTTATAGACGAGGTGCTTTTTTGAAGAACGTCTTTAGTTTAAGTAACATTTGTTGTAATTTCGTCACACTGCGTGCCATTGATTTGTTAATACTCTTGTGCTCCATACCATGTGATCACGGTCTTGGGTCAAAGGCACAGGGCACGTGTGAGTGGGTACGCTTGTTTACTGTGTGTGTGTGTGTGTGTGTGTGTGTGTGTCTGTGTCTGCAGGGCCGAGCTTGCGTCTCTTTAAAGGGGAATGAGTGTAATCTTGGAAAAGCAGTGGCGTGGAACCCTGTCAGGGAGCGTGGGGGAGAAAAAGACAGAGACAGAACGACTGCGAAAATGACTTTGTTATTCACACAACTACCAAGACGACAGAAAGTTTCTATCTGTGCACATGCCTGAAAATTACCGAGTATATTCAGCTCAAGACAGGTTTGTGTTATTGTGTTTTATGTTATTTATGCACAACTTAAGGCACAAATAAATATTACGATCAGACTTACTGTCCTTCATGGGAACAAAGGTGGGTGTGAGCTACCAAGAGTGTGTGTCTTAATGAAAATGAAACTAAGCTGCTGACTGTGGCAGATTTCTGCTCCACTGCACAGGTTGAATTTCCAATTAGAGAGAGCTACGCTTGTACAGAGTATCAAAGACCTGCAGCACTTATATACACCTTTCTATAGAGCTGCATCACCCGCAAACTCCCCATATATGGAGCCTCTAATACCAGCCGTGCACACGCATGCACTGATAAATAGAGATGGATTTGCTGTCACGTACAAACGTTTACTAAAGAACAGGAGAACCCTCAGGTAGAAAGACAGAGAAAGAGTGCAGGGGAGAGATGGGGACAAAAACACTCGGGTCGGTTGCGAGCATGAATGCTTTGATATTGTAGACGCACACGCTCCCATGTTTTTGTAACGTGTGTGTGTAATAAGTGTTTTCATGCCAAGACATGTGCTATCTCTGCGTTTTATGGAAAAAATCTATTGCCTCAGTGACTCCAGGTCATTGGCACCAACTTCACAGTAAAGAATTGCCTTGAACCGCTGGTCCTGTGTTACTTTAAATCTGTCACTGACTCACTTTTAGACGTACTGGAGGGCAAACTGCTCATTTGATGATGCAACAGCTTCGTGAGGCTACAGTATGTCGTTGCATCATAACATGAGCAAGGGCTATTTTTTGAAACTGATGATCTTTTATATTTCCAGAAAACTAGACATAAGAAGATGCATTTTCATCCATATATTTACATCTCTTTCAAGTTCAAAAAGCACTTTCACACCCAAATTCATCAGAATGCTCTTTAATCAGTTTTTTTTTGCCATTTTTATGTTCACCTCGGGGGAGTTAAGTGCACAGATATTTCTTCTGCCTTTATAAATTCCTTCCTGCATACCAAATTAAGTGTGTCAAGAGATACTCTCAACCATCAGCTGTCACCTGTGCTGTATCTAATCATAAGGCAACAATGTGGCTCCATTACAGTCATTACAGCGCTGACTGATGATTTCCTTCAAATCACCGAGCCATAGATGTTGTCCACTGCAGTGCTGTACCACTGAGTTTTATGCATGGCGCAATACTGTATGTGAGAATGGGCCTCCTGCTTTGTGGGTCTTTCTTGGTCAGCAGAAGGCGGCACGCTCTCCCCTCCCCTCTACGACACCAGCTACCAACGACTGCACCAGTCTGCAGCGAAATACTGTGAACGCAGCAGAGTTGTTGAGGATCACCATCTGCAGCACAATAAAACGGGATGAGAACATCACCGCGCTCATCTTCCTGCATCAACTCTACTAATTCGACGAACTCCTCATCACAAAGTCTTCTCATACTTATACTGGAATATACTTTTAGGGTCTTTTCCATGTCCTACTTATATTTAGATACATAAAAATAGCTATTATTTCTGTTAAATGTCTCTCTATGCATTTCAATGTAATGCACACAGCATAACAACACTGTATAAAAACTGCTTTAACTATATGATCCTCATGTGCTCACAGAATATTAAATCCAAGGATGTTATTTTTATGGCTGCACAGTTTTCTCCCTGTAATTAAGCCTGATGATATAAATGATGTTGCATCTCTGGCAACGTCTGGATCTTTGCTAGAATTTCAAAGCCCATTTAGCATTATTTTCTACATGCATACACTCAGAAATCCATTCTCAAAGAGCCAAGAGTACTGCCAAACCAATGGTTGATCAACTACCAACTCTGTAGCTCTGCACAACCTTTTGACACTTGAATTTGACTTAGTTTGACAACAAATTGTAGAGCTACTTTGTATCTTTGTGACTGTGCTAATACTGCAAAACTAGCACTGTCCTCAACTTTTTACTCTATATTTGTTTATAGTTTGATAGCGTCAAATGAAAACCAAATACTGTCTCTTCATTACATCTGCTCATAATCTTATGTTTCAGTCCTGTGTTGTAAAACTGCCTTGTAATGTGTCGGCACATTCCACTCGCAGCAGTTATATTACAGCTAAATGAAAGCTACTATCGTCATACTACAAGCCGTCATGCAAGGACATATGTTTGGGTTTAGTGTCCTGTAATTCTGAGACATTGTGAGACAATCATACGTGTGTTTACGATGAAGTTTGTTGGACAGTTTTATGTTTTGCCTGTGAGATATAATGTATATCTTACCTTTATTATGTCTGCTTGCCAGATGATAGGCCCTGGATCTGTAATGTATGTGTGTTTGAGTGTAGATGCTGTCCAGGTCCTGTCTCCAGGTGTCTGGGCTCAGGGATCTGAAGAGCTGTTCCACAGTGTCAAAGGCAGCTATGGTCCGGTCCAAATCCTCCAATGAGAACGGAACCTGTGTGACTGTGGCTGGCATTTGCCCTACAACACTGTCCTGCAGAGAGCAAGTGGGAAAGCGAAAAAAATTAGGGATTTGATTATTAATTACCTTCAGCACATTGGGGAGATTTGTGGAAGTCCTGAGACACAAGTGAAAAAAAAATTCTGGTGATCCATTTCTAACTCTGTTCTAGTGTAAATTGTTGTCTCCTGTGTTTAAGGCTTTAGAACAGCTGAAAATAGGTTTTACCAGGATAATCTTTCTTTTTTTTCTTCTTTTTTTTTTTCTGGACGGGATCATTAAAAGTTTGTTGTTGTAGTTATAATTTTGGCCACAAGAGGCTGAAGTTTATCACTACCTTATGTTCCCTATACATTGCTAGACAAAAGAATGGCATGACAGTAATGTTATATAACTTGTTAACAATCAGTAGCCCTTTTTACATGGAAATCATGCTACAGCGCCACTACGAAGTCCAGTCTGTATGCCGCCTTTGCATTTTTACACAGTACCAAAAATGAAAATGGTGGTGGCTAGTGTGTGATTTTAGACAGAATGGCAGCATCACAGAAGCAAAAGAGGCATGATGGGCGTGACATGTAACACAACAGCACTGGCCTCTAGTTTGACATATAACAAGTTCACAACCAATAGCAATCATTTACTGTCTCTGTTATATGGCAGCTGATCTCATCGTCTGCTTGGAGGGTAAGGAACTCCTGGACCTCATTGTTTTCCCTATTTGTGGACATTGTCGGCTGCTGTTCCTCTTCTTTGAGTTAGCTGCTAACTGCTAACAGCTACTTATAAAATTGCCCGCAGTGGGTTGCATGCATAACAGGTCATCAAAACGTCATTAAAACGTCACACCCGTGCCGCCCAAGATCCCGTACCGTCAGCTGTCCCTTTTATAAAGACTGCGTTTCGGCACTCTTCCAATGCCCCCTTAAAGGTGAGAAAATTCTGCTCCCCCATTCCACGATTGTACCGTTTATACACAGAGGCGAGGCAGCATGATGGTGTGAAATTCCTGCCTTGAAGAGGCTGTGTAAAAGTGGCTATAAATATATGTACCTTGTGTTTGGAGTGCATGGGAAATTAAAAGTCACTAACAAGAAAACAAGAATGCTTTTCATCCTATTAGAACATGGGGTAGTGGTGCACTTCAGCCTCTCGTGGGTAAAATAAGTATACAACAACAGGAAAGAGAGATTCTGGCAAAAACTTTTTTTTTCATCTGGCAAAGCATTTTTTCACCTGTTTTACAGATTAAAAAAAAAAGCAACTTAAAAAGGTTATCCTGGCAAAACCCTTTTCACCTGGCATAAAGTCTTAAACACAGAAGATAAATTAATTTTACAGGATTGTTTTTCTGGCTTGCCTCTCGGGGTTTCCATAGAAATCACAGGTAACTATTGGCCAAAAATCTTCTTGGTAGTTTGTGAGTCACTTTATCATTTCCTTCACCACTATGGTACTACACAGAATACAACCCAATTTAAAGGGTTACTGATGAGTCAGGGAACTATTCAAAATGATGTTTTGCAGTGTCTGTGTATGCACAGAGACAGGCGGGGTACTACTGCAGCTGATGAAACATAGGTTTTCTTTGCAAGCATTAAAAAGGTATCCAAGGATTGATGGGAAGATTTGGAGATACCAACAGATAACCTCTAGGCTGCCACTGTCACTGTTGGTCATATTGACTCCTCTAACACTTGGGGTCATTAATCAGATCCCTACTAAACATTTCAGACAGAGCTTTTAGTGAAATGGAAAACAGATTTTCAAGGAGACGTCTCGACCTGATCAGTGTCTTCCTCTACAGTGCAGCTCTTTCTCTCAAAATCTGAAATACATACTAGTCCATACCCACTGGTAGCTTTGTCACCTTCTACCTATGCCAGTTCTCAATGCCTATGCGCAGTTTCACACACAGAGACAGAATGACTGACTGACAGAATGACACACTTACAGTTTCCGTGGTTATGTACAGCATACCATACCATGACTTAGTCATACCAAAAATTAGAAAAAAAACAAAAAACAAAAAAAAAAAAAAACATGCGGTCACAGGGGGAGCCACAGTGATCGGTCACATTTTAGCCATTTTTAAGCATTTTTCTGTTGTTATTGTGCCACCCAGTTGCCAATTAGAGTTACATTCTTTTTAGTTTAGTAAAAATCGATATGGCAGTTAGGCCTAGATAAGAAATTAGCTCTCTAGTGCCCCCATTTTGTTTGATTGGGTCAGTAATGGAGGGATTATATGTGGTCATATGCCTACAAAGTTGCGTGGTGATCGGTGAAACCCTTGAGATGTTATACACCTTTATGTGATGAGCCACGCCCTCCGCAATATTCATTGCCTTATAGAAGCTCAGTTTTAGTAAGTTTTCCAACTTTTGCCAAGAGGGAACTTTAGATATTGGTCCCTAGATTATGTTCACCCAGTTTCATGCAGATCGGTCAAACTTCCTAGGAAGAGATCGATTTTAAGTGTTTTTCAAAAAATTCAAAATGGCGGAAAATCTATATAACCGGAAGTAATGGGTTCTTGAGGCAAATTTGTTCCTCATGAGGAGAGGCATCTCTGTGCAAAGTTTCATGTCTCTACGACATACTGGGCGTGAGATATGCCCATTCAAAGTTTGCCATTTCAATCGGTTGCTATAGCGCCCCCCTTTGGCCAATTGATATAATATTGCTTCATTTACATCCTCCCATGACCCTCTACCACTGTGCCAAATTTTACATGGATTGACCAAGTCAGTGAAGAGAAAAACGTGGAACAGACACACAGACACACACACAGACAGAATTTTCGTCATTATATAGTAAGATTACTTACAGTAATATACTGATGTTGAATCTCTCTGTATTGTGGAGTGTGATCAAAACACTATAAATGTCTCATTTTCTGTGGTTATAAATACTGTTCATGCACTCACAACATGTAATTATGAGAGTAGTCTGACATTAAGAAGAAAGTCAAGAAACCAGCCTATAGCCTGCAGTGTAGCACACTGTAATGGAAATATTTACTCAGTGTTTTGCCATGTACAGTATGTATGCGTGACAGTAGTCTATATGCAAACTGTGCGTGACTGAGCTTGATTTCTTTCCAAACCCACTGTCATTAGTGTGCTAATTCAACGACATAACAAGTCTTCTAAATCTGTAATAATTTCCCACCTATCTATATTGTTAGTGCCATATTTTTTGCAACAATACTTTGAATACCACTTTATATCAAACACTGATGTCTTTTGTGTGAATGACAGCATCTGAGATAGTCAGGTAAGAAAATGAAATAAAGATAAGTAAGAAAAAAACAAACAGAATCTCTTACTCTTTAAATTAAGTAATCTTATGTGACACATTTACCTTTGATTTATCTTTGTAGTATGTTCGTTTTCCACCACAATGAATATTATCAGCAACATGGGCAGACAAAAGCAGTAACATATTGCACAGATGATTCCAACACAGCTCCCTGCTGCAGGCTATTTATCTAGCAAGGAGGCAATTGCAATAAAATTCTTGTGGCATGATGGACTAATACGCCTGTGACTTCAGTTGCCATAATCAGCACAGACTTCCATACAGGTCAAAAGACACGAGGGTGAAGTGATGACAAGATGTCAGGAGAATTAGATTCATCAAAATTTGAGAAGTGAAGTACACCTCTGAGACTTAACATTTGTTTATAGGTATAAATTTAAAAAAATCTCAGTATCACAGCGAGCTATAAAAATGTGAGTCTGGCTCATGTATAAAAAAGGCATTAGATAAATCAAAGCTCCATTAAACTTCTTTTCAAATATCATCTAATACGACTTGCATTTACTTTAATTATAAATTGTGTGTTGTTTAAAATATATTTTTCTCCATGTGGTTAGGATTGTAAAACCAATGACAGGATGAGAGTTAAAACATCATCAATGTCATTACAATAAATGTCTCACTTTGTGCTTGCTCTGTAATATGAACAGCAGGAACTTGATGTAAAACGACCACAAAACGAAACAGATTCTGTATCAGAGCACCATTTGAATATAAAGTGGAAGAGGCCAACAAGCTGCACATTTGCATCCCATCTGCAGTGGCAGTGACATATCCATACATACACACGATAAAAAAACATGCACCCACGTACATTTAACCATTATCAATCCATGTGGAAAAACTGCCACGCAGCCCGATGCACACTAATTATGATGGCCACATATGTTACTGAACCCCAGACACGGACTCACACAAATTATAGCGATGTACTTATAGAAACATTAGTCTATGGAAGCATGTCATCTTACATCTCAGGCTTTATGCATAATAAATACAGTACATACATGCATGGCTGTATGCTGTGTGTGGGTGTGTGTTAGCCTATATGCAAATTACCATATGTCATATTTATTAGTGTAGCTACTGTTCTCTGTTGAGCTTATGATGACACATATGTGAGGTGACGAGGTTGGATGTCAGGTAGGCTGCATGTGTCGAGTGTGATAAATAGTATCTGCAAAAAAGTTATTTGAACATAGTTTGGAACAAGGGATTTTTCCACAACATTGATATTAGTTTGAAAAAAAAAAAAAAAGTATAATCCCAATGATGGTGACATTTTCTTAGCTGTACTTTCATTCCACTCTGTGGTTAATGTGAGAGCTCCGTTACTGCCAAAAAGATCTCCTATTATAACTGAGGTCAAGAACGCCTGTTTAATTTTAATTTTAGGATTTTAACAATTCATAAAGTGTGTAAGTGTGTGCATGACTCACCGACATGGGCATGGTGACAGCCTCCCAGTTGGTGTTGGATGCAGGCAAAGGAGAGTCATACTGCGGAAACGGACAACAGAAATAACCAATCATCAGTTGATCAATTAAACAGATATTAGATTTAAAAAAAAAAAAAAAAAAACATACCAAAGAGAAAAAAAGAAAAGATGATGATTGAATGATTGGAAAAAAACTGTTTGGTTTTAGGGCCCTAAAAAGGCACAGTCAAGACAGCTCTCAGTTTGTGGTAAGAGCAGTTTGATTGTGATTGATTGAGGCCATCAGGTAAAATAAAAGTGACTCCAAAGCAACTAAATGTATAAATCTTTTGCCTTTTACGAAAGATGTCCATGGAGACCATTATATGTGATTTAGGTAAGACTAAAGGAGTCATGATCCTATCTTTTACATGTCACAATAACTGCACACAAAGCACCTTATACTGAAAAAGACATCATTTCTATGAAGCTCTTTACATGGCCAATTAAAGTAAATATTCCTCTAATGTTCCTGTTTACATGCAGCTGTGCTCACTCTGATTAACGTGCCCTAACATGTCGTTTATCACGTCAAAATACGGTAAAGTGAGCCATTTTCCTTTTTTGCGTAAAGTAAGTCAGCAAGTTTCCCACCTATAGTGGACTTGTTGGACCATGCGAACACAGCCTCCCTCTTTCAGTCCTTCAACCACCTTCTTGAAAAGGTTGGCATTGCGATATTTTCGCATATCCAAAAACCTGTTGATATCCAAGTCTTTCATAATGTAAGAAAGTATGTGTTTCTCCTTTTGACTAGAAATGTAGGCTTTTCCTTTGGGTATACATCTCTACCACAGCCTCACAAACTTCTCACTTGTTTGTGTATAGGGTTGCAGTGATATACAGATTTCAAGGAACAACATGATATAAAAGTAGATGGTTATACTGTGAACATTTGCACATCTCCGATATTGGAAAAAAATTGCAACTGGATGGAGAATCTCCCCTGTATTTTGGTTATATTTAAAAGCAAGACTTTTTACACGGGCGGCACGGTGATGTGGTGGTTAGCACTGTCACCTCACAGCAAAAGGGTTCCTGGTTCAAACCCCCTGTGTCAGTGTCGGTTTTCTCCGGGTACTCCAGCTTCCTCCCACAGTCCAAAGACATGCAGGTTAATTTGATGACTCTAAACTGCCCGTAGGTGTGAATGTGAGTGTGAATGGTTGTCTGTCTCTATGTGTCAGTCCTGCGATAGTCTGGTGACCTGTCCAGGGTGTACCCCGCCTCTCACCCAATGTCAGCTGGGATAGGCTCCAGCCCCCCCGTGACCCTCCAGAGGATAAGCGGTTAGAAAATGGATGGATAAATGGAAGAACTTTTTACACATACTTTCATTAACAAAATGAGTTTCAGTTACAGTGATAAAATGTTTGTTCAATCAAATATATCCCTTCCATTTTTCATTCCTTTAAGGATCACTCTGATAGAAATAATATAAATTTTGTGAGACGGTGATACAGTGATACCGTGAAACCTCAGTATTTTCTGAGACCTCCATCATACCATGAAAATCTCATACTGTTGCAGCCCTATTTATGCACAACAACACATACATGGCAACACACAGAGCTGACCATAAGAAGGCAAGAGGCCATGTATTGCAGGCCGCGGTAAAAACGCATATTCTGAATGCGCTGTGTACATGTCCAAAGAATGCTCCTAAAATGTGAATAATACTGGCATGTCCCACATGTCACAATCAGAAAATGCTTAATTCGGATTCAGGCTGAATTCATAATAGCCAAAGGGAATATGCTGTTTACATGACCCGTATCAAATTCAGAAAATTGTCATATTGGTAGTAACAGTTGAGTTAACTTTAGGTACCTCAAATCACAGGTCAGGTTAAAATCATATCAATTGTCAAAATTAGGGGATATGAAAATATTTTAAACTTGTTTAAAAGGATGTGATCCCCAGACATTTTGTAAGCCTACATATCCAACCTCCTCCATGTGACTTGTTGCACAGCACACATCTACATGAACGCTGCAAAATCTTAGTTGTTGTGTAGAAGCTAAAGTGAATCTGTTCCATTAGATTTCTGACTAATATCTGTTTCTACAACCTCTCAGACATGACAGTAATACTGTACATATTTCTTCATTTATATCATCACAGCTTGTACTGTAGGAGACGGGGTGGAGCTTCACCCGTTACGTAAGGTCAACCAAGATATTCAGGTGTCTGCCTGTCGAACTGATGGGCTGTCAGTAAATTCCTAAAAGAATTTCCAGTGAAGCTGGTCACAGCTTGCCTTTCTTTCTCTCTTTCTGTGTGTGTGTGTGCCTGTGTGTGTGTGTGCCTGTGTGTCTGTGTGTGCACGAAGGAAATCAGAATCTGGTTAAAGCATGTTTAGATGTTAAATGTCATGCCAATAAAGCCTGATGAATTGAACTGAACTGGGAAACACTCAGCAGACTGACATACTGTATTTGGCACACATTCTTTGTGTTTCTCACACACTTACAGACACACACACACACACACACACACACACACACACATAAAATCTCAACGGCTATCAAATCCCTCTCCTTGAAGAGTCTTAAATACCATCTCCGGTCAATATGGAACAGTAAATCTGCTTCAACCACACTTCAAAGACACTTTGCCCTCACTTTGCCTGTGTGTGTGTGTGTGTGTGTGTGTGTGTGTGTGTGTGTGTGCGCGCGCTAATGTAATAGAGTTGACATCAAAGCCTGTCAGTGTGCAAAAGTTTTTGTTTAACAGATCCTCGCATGTGGCCTTAGGATAAATGTACTCATATACCCAACCCAGCTGTGACTGAGGTCAGAGGGTTTCCTGTAAGTGTGTGTGTGGGTAAACCCATGTTTACAGATTCCTAGTCTCATTTCCTTTTAAGGTTAAATGCCTCATCAAGCACATCTGGGCCACTTAGTAGGGCTGGAAGGAAGACTTAAGAGACAGAACATAGGGGTCCCGATGGGGGATTGACTGCTCGTGGCGGTCCGCTCTCTCCTGTGTGTTGGTGGGGGTCCATCCTGGGGGGTCCAGGCGGGTGGCCCTTCGCAGTCCCCTGGTTCCTGATGCGCTGGGGACATATGCCTTGCAGTATCACCGCCTCCTTGCCTCCCTTGTCCGCCCGGGCCTGGGTGGGCTCTCGTTACTGTCCGGTCCGGCGTCTGCTGGTGGCCGGCGCCTGGTGCGGGCCCGTCCGGTGCGGTGCTGGTTCTCTCCCCGGGGGCAGTGCCGGGCCCCCGCGCCTGGCTCCTTGGGTCGGGGGCGGTCCCTGGGTGCGTCCGTGGGTGGGGGCGGGCTGGTGGTTGGGGGGGGTGGGGGCGGTCCGCGTCGGGCGGTGGGTGGGCGGGCCCTCCTGCCCCGCCTGTCTGGGGTGTGTCTCTGGCTCTCTGGGGGTGCCGGCCTTCGCCGCCCTGGGTCCTTGGGCCTGCGTGGTGTCCTGCGGCCTCTGCGGCTCCCTGGTCTTGGGGTCTGGGCGCTCCTGCGGTCTTGGGGTGCCATACCGCCCCCCTTCCCCCGCAGGGCTGGCCCTGGACCCTGGTGATGGTTTTCATAAACACATTGGGAGGGTTCAAATACACGCATGCATGTTCGATACTTCAGCTCCGTGACGCATCGCAAAGAACCGATGGGATCACTCCAAAGGGGCCCACTTGCTTCTCAAACCTACCACACCGCGCTGGCAACTCTTCTCTGCAATTGGGCTTTCCCCCTCCACCAAGACTCTCACATTTTTGGTGTTCAGTATAGACTTCTCTTTTGTTTTTGTTTTTCAGTACAGTATAGTAGACATGTATATGTTTATTTTCGATAATCTGCATGGAGCACAACCACCTCAAGGCCACAATACATCAGCTACACTGCCTGTTTCTCCCCTGTTTTTTTTTTCGTTTGTTTGTTTATTTGTTTGTTTTTCCTCCTTCTTCTCCGCATGCACTGTCACTATATAACTCAGGACTTAAGCACCTGCCCCCTCCCCCTTGCTTGTTTCCTTACTTTCCCCCTGACACACTTTGGTGTATCACGGCCCTCTCTGACTCATATTAGAAAGTTTTTCCAATAAAGGCTGTTAGGCTAGTCTCCAGGGAGGGTGGGTGACGGTCACAACCACGCATTATGGGTATAAAATACTTGACTGCAAGATTAACAGTGCATCAATCTTCACAAGAAGCTTACACCCTTTAGTGGCACTAAGCTATGAAGACCAATGCAGACAAAAAAAAAAAAAAAAAGAGACATAACATTTAAAGGGAGGACTGAAAACCTCTCAGCGTACAGGCTGAAGTCACCTGACAACTGGAGTACTAAACCTATACTTTTGAATTTTTACTTTTCATAAAATGTGCTCTACTTGAATTTGAATTAGATGTGTAAATGTATATAATTGCTAAAAATGTAGCTCAGTTTAAAGTAGATTAGTGTTGATTTAAAGTGATCAAAATCTAAGGTCACTTTTCTTATTCTTCATCTTATTTAAACTGACTAACAACAGAATGAACAGGAGTAACTCATTCATATATCAGTTTTCATCAGTCATCCTGCTTCTGTGTGGGGAAACCAAACTCTTGTAAATGATATCAAGCCAGGCTGCACTTTGCTTATTTATCTTCTCTGGTGTTAAAAACAGATGAACAGGTAGAAGCAAGACAACAAAAGTGGTAACATGACTGCACCCCGTCCAGTCCTTGACCTGGAAGCATCATGGAGGACAACTCAAACACTGAGCAAACTGAGCGACTGGAGCGACTTGTACCAAAGAGAATTACTGTGTCCGTCGTTTGGATACATTTTAGCTTTCATAAAGACGACGCTGAACAGATAGAAATCAAATGTAAACACTGTGGAAAAAACATTTTAGCAACCAAAAGTAATACTACTACTACCAATCTGTTTCAGCACTTGGAGCACAATCATGTTACTGAATATGAACAGTGCATGGCTCAGACAAAAGAAAGAGACTAACAATTGCCCAGTGACAAGTGCCTCCACAAAGCAAGTCTTGATTAGACAAGCATTTACACAGTATGAAAAAGATTC